ACTAAATGTTACCTGTAATAATGTATGTAATTTCTGTGCATGTAATGAATGTAATAATTTTTCATGATTTATATACACACACATGCAATTCAAATATGTAGCAAAATATTGGATATAAGTCTTGGCAGTGACATTTTCTTTTAACATCCTTGCGTTTTCAGGAAGAGAATAAAAGCTCCACTTAGTGTTAAGCTGGTAAGTCAGTAATTTGGGCTGTAATTTCTAGGTTGACCACATTAACTGCAGGAAGTGAAATAGCAGTAAATAGTAATTAGGAGAAGCCAAGGAAAGAGATAAGGCTAGCAGGAAGAGCCAGGCCCATAGAACACAGAGCAAATAATCACAGAGAACTCAGAGACATAGCCAGAGCACACCAGCACAGAAGGTGGGGGAGAGACAAGACAGAGCTAATGACAGGTAAGCTGGTTCAGTGATACGAAGCAAAGCAGAGTTTAAAGCAGAAGATAGAGGAGTTCTCTGTATGCACTACTTGATATGGTCTCAAAATAAGGAAACCAATTAGAGAGAGCTGTAGAAAACCAAATAACCCAGAGTCATCATGAGAGATTTGAATGGCTTGCATCAGTAAGAGAAAGTAAATAAGTTTACATATGGATCATTTGAACAGCACAGCTAGCGACTTAGCCTCTAGGATAGAGAGATACATAAAAAACACACAACCCACAGGCAGAGGATGCTTCATTTTCTAAAATAGTTTATTTTTATGTGTGTGAGTGTATTGCCTGCATGTATGTGAGTGCACCTGTGTCATGCAGTACTCCTGGAGTCAGAAGAGGGCATTGGATCCCCTGGAATTACAGTCTAGGACATTGTTAGCTGCCATATGGGTGCTAGGAACTGAACTTGAGTCCTCTGCAAGTGCAGTCAATGCTCTTACCCACTGAGCTATCTCTCCTGCCCCAAGGAGGATATATTTATTTTCAAGCACATTTGAAGCATTTGCTGCTAAATTCATGCATAGTCACAGCAAGTTTAAACACATTTCAAAGCTTCAAACTCATTTAGAGTATTTTATTTTACTGCAGAATAGCTATAAACCAGTAACAAAAAAAATTGTCTTTTTTGGCCAATTGTTATTTTCTAAATAACACTGGGGTAAGAAAGAAATTAGAAATCTGAAAATAATTTGGGTGAGTTACTAAAACCCACCCTAACAAAGCTTCTAAGATTCAGCTTAAATGGGGATTTATGCTTTAAGTTACATATTTTAAGTTTCAGTTTCTGCTATTGGTGCCATACAGTCCCTGGGTCCTTCCACAATACAAGATTATTGTATTTCACGGAAAGTTTTTTATTTATAAGATATTTATTGGATGCCCAAGAGTGTGTGCTGCATTTGTCTCCAGGCTTCTCAGTGTCAGCAGTATTGACATTTTGGAGCTGAGGAGTCTGTTACAGTGACTGGGCTTGCTCTGTAGGATGCTGAGCTATAGCCATGACCCTGTCTACTAGATTCCAGTAACCCAGGCCGCGATTTGATCTATAGAATTTGGGCGCTTTTACCTAATTCCTAAAAGATTTTAGGATTACCTCTTCAGAGGGGGGAATTTTAGAGTAGCAAAAACCCCCACGTTTAACTAGTCAAAACTATAAAATCCCTAGTCTGTGTTGGAGGACCCACCCTTCCAGTCTCACTGGTCAATCACCTGGTGATAGAACCACCCCTAGCAAGGCAGGTTCACCTTAAGTTATGCTAAGTAGATGGCCAGAATACCTGGTGCATTAATAAGGTAGCGAATTTTTTCCTGCCTGGAATCCTGCCTTGTAAAGCAGAATTCTGAAGAGCTTCTGACTAGCCACAGTCATGTAGGTCTCCATAAGTCTGTCCACTTTCTGCCATTTGGGTCCATTCTTCAATTCTTTTATGTATGAGTCTATGAGACTAAGAACCCTCTAGGGGACCCATTCCATCCCCTACCCCCCATTTCAGAACAGGCCAAAACTATGGACATGTGGTGTCTTACTTTAAGAGACAAAATGACCTACAGTAACAGTATGTGAAGGTCCTTTGCAGACAATGATAGCCTGGCATCATCCTTTGAAATATTCTGGAAAAAAATGTTTACCATTGTTGTCTTTGACATTTCCCTCTGGAAGGGAACAAAAATTATCCCTGATTGAGGACCACTGATAATATAGTGGTGAGAACTAAGATGCCCTTTGCCCTCATGAAGCTAATATTGTAGGGAGTGGTTTTACATAGATAGCAGAGCTGTTAATGAGCACAGGTTCATTTGGCTGACTTTGAATACCATCACTGTATAATTGCTATTAATGTCCCTGTCCTCCAGTTATAAAATGGAAATAATAGCTATCTCATAGAATCAGCGAATTAGATTCTGTAGTAGATGTAGGCCTTCAGACAGTGCATGTACTGGACACATGTTGAATGTTAATGATTATTATATAAACCACAATTGAATATATTTCTAAATAACAGTAAACTTTGTGAGGGGAAAAATAGGGTTCTTTCTCTCTATTCTTGTTCTAAATTCGTGTTTGTTGGTCATGTTGTAAAATTGCCCAGGAAGAGTATGGACTACGTCACAGGTGATTATTTTTGATTCTCAGATATTGTGATTATGTGATTGTATTTTTGTATTGATTGGAATAAAGGTTTACTTCATCGTGTTCTGTCATTTATATTTATGAATAATAGTTATTGCTGAAAATTAAAATTTAGAACTGCTTTTAATATGAAATTTTAAAAATATTTTGTTTTTAAACTATTAAGGTAAATAGCTCAGTTAAACTGTATAAAGCTGGCTATATTAGATTTCTTGCCTCAAACTGTATTCCATGGTGAGTACTTAAAAATGTTAGTGTTGATGCTTGTGATGAAATAGTTCATTAATTTTGGGATGTTATGAAGCACCGGTTGAAAAGCTACAACAGTTTGAGTGTCCCTAATAAAAAATCCAAAATGTTCTAAAACTTGTGATTTTGTTGCTAAGTTGACAAAAGAAAAAAAAAATCAGCAACATATTCCTGTTGAATAAGGAGCACATAACCTGAATTAAACAAAATAACCATGGGTCACTGATACTAGAAATCATTTACGGAGAATGGTTATTAGTCAACGATGATCTGAATCTTTGCATTGCTTAAGTTCAGGTTGCAAAATGATGAAGTGTGTTTTGGCTCCCTCTGTCGGCCATGTGTGAAAAAGCAGAAGTAAATTGCTATTTAAAACAGTGTGATTCTAAAATAGTTTGTTTTATATTCTCATCCAGATAAGCAGCTTTGTATTTAAGTTACATGATGGAGGGATAAGAGAATATTGATAGGGAAATCTACATTCTTGTTCAGAACAGGAGCCAGTGTGTGGTTAGGGATTTGATTTTTTTAAACAAATTTGTTATGTGAGAAATGTGGTTTAAATGTACATTTCACTAGTTATCAGTAAAACTAAACATTAAAAAACATAGTTAAGGGGAATTTTTACATTCTCTGAATTCCCTGATCCTGTCTTTTGCCCATGTTTAATGCCCCCCTCAGATTCAATTTTTTAAACTGTCAAGATATGAAAAAGTAAGGCTATGTCTGTCTGTATGTGTACACACCTTTTCCCTACCACTGTAGTGTGTGAAATGGTTGTCTTTTAACATTTATTCGTGTGTGTGTGTGTGTGTGTGTGTGTTCACATGCACATATGCATGCCATCTCATTTTGTCTAACTTTTCTTTATGGAAAACTAGTGACAGTTTATAAGAATTATGGTAGTTCTGATTTAAATTGGTGCTTCAGAACATTATTAATTCAGATTAGCTGCTTGCCATCATTAGGTACTGAATGGAAATTATAGGACAAAGTAACCCATGTTTTGGAGGTTGTAGTTAGTGGGAAAGATCAAAAACACAGATACTAGTTTAAAAACCTTATCAGATGCAGTGAAGGAGATATACAGTTGTTGGAAATTTAATAACAGACTTAAATTTGCCTTGGTTAGCAAAATTTGAGGACAGCCTTGTTTTAAATGTTACAAAACTGACTTTTGTGAAAAGTCAAACATTATTGTTTACTATTTTTATTAAAAATTTTCATCTGGGGCTGAAGAGATGACTCAGCCATTAAGAGTACTGACTGCTCTCACAGAGGACCTGGGTTCAGTTCCTAGCACCCACGTGGCAGGCAATAACTTTAATTCCAGTTCCAGGGCATCTGATGCCCTCTTCTGGTCTTCCTGGGCATTGCAAAACACAGGTGCACTTTACATGCATGCAGGGAAACCACTCATACACATAAAATAAAAATGAATTAAAAGATATTCCTCAACTATGTTGTCTAATTAGATATTTAAATAAACCCCAGTGTAGTTCAAGTGTCAGTTAAGTGTCCATAGTGGGAGAACAGCGCAACATACATTATCTGTATTATTTGAATTTTGGAAGAGCTAATTTTTCATTGAAAACTATAGTTTTATTTGGAGTAAACAGTATTTTTCTATGTTTATTATCCTATTTAGTTTTGAGGCTTTTTAAAAATGTGTGTTTCAGTTTTTCATCTTCATTTTATATGTTAAATAGGGATGGTAGTTTAATCATTTAGAATATACCATTCTTGCAGGAAGAATACATGTGAAGATTGACACACAAAATATAAACTAGTAGTTATTGTTGCTAACCATAAATTATTCAAGTAATATTTATTGATAAACATGAAAAATAATTGACATAGACTCTGAAATTAAGTATCCAAACATGTTTATATGGGAAAATATGTCTTCTTTAATGGTGTGTGTTAATAAGGAAATAGCAGGTTAATATTAGGCCATAGGAAAGACCCTTTAAGACCTGTAGACTTTTTCCTGTGTGGATTAGTGGTACCTTTTTCAGACATTATTAGCTAATAATAATAATAATAATAATGGCTAAGTCAGTTTGTGAATTTGATATCTGTCTCTGAGCTCTATCCAATAGTGTTGGCGTTACTCTGAAAAGAAAATGAGTTTAATGGGAGTCTTGCTTCCTTCTTTTCAGACACTGGCCAGAAGAAGCCTCTTGACAAGAAAGATGGGAGACGAATGTCTTTTCAGAAACCTAAAGGGACCATTGAGTACACTGTAAGTTGTTTCCTCTGGCAGAAGCGGTTTATCTTTGTAATGATCTTACTGAAGACATTTTCTGTTTGTACTGCAAAGAAGCTAAAGATGGCTAGTTGTCTCATTTACAAAATCCAGGCTTGTTTTTTGTGAAAGTTTCCTTAATAATACTTCAATTCTTAATTCCATTTTTAGAATTTTTTTCCTTACTGTGAATTAGAAAGATTGTTATTCCAGCAAATTTAATTTAATATTGATGGTAGTTTAAGAATGTGCTTGTATTAAGGTCCCAGCAATGTGAGTGTTAGTGCTAATGACAGGTGGGTCCCTTACAAGCTAAGTTGAGCGTTAAGTCTCTTCAGCTTTGGGGCTTTCTTCTGTGTTCATGAAGTGACGCTCAGATCTCAATGTTGTTCTTTCATTTCTGGTTACTCTAGGTAACTGAAGTGACTAATTTTGCTGCATGGTGTCCTTATTCAGTAGAATGTAAATATTAAGATTAATTTTTGCTAACCATGTTGTAAAGCAAATATATTAATTTACCTTAATTTTATTACTTGGTGATTTTCTAAAATATTAGAGCAATATTAAAGAGAAAGATAACAAAATTAATT